GTGGGGAAGTCTGTAATTTCACTGCAAAGATCACGTCCAAGACCAGCAGCATCAGCATCACCCGAGAACTTATTACAAATGAAGAATCTCAGGCCTGCTGAATCAGAATGTGCAGCATCAATGAGCCCCTGGCTGATTTATTTGGAGAAGAGAAGTTCTTTTCTATCTTGACTGAACATGACATTATGTGTTTTGCAAAATTACCTGTTCCAGATTGCTGTCCATCCTTTACTTCTGTGGCTATATTCGAAACAGAATCTTCCTTATCGCTTGTAGCCTAAATGGAATTTGAAGCAAAATAATCAATAAATAAAGTATGTTTCATAGACTATACATTTACTAGTTCAAAATATAAATGAGATTTTAATCACCTTCAAGGCTGGTTGTTTCTGGGAAGACACTGAAAAGCAAAAGGGATACATAATCACTCATATGTAAATATTATAAAGTTATTCATACATTCATGTAGTGTTAGCATCAAGCTGTATCTTCCTGCCTGTATTAGTGTAGGCTTTGATGTTTTCTACTTTGTGTCTGGAGACTGAAACATGATAGAAATACACTGAAAGAAAAGGAATACAGGCTTCACAAAATATACCCTTACAATTTCAAACACGGTATGATTTGTCATAAGTCTAAAACTAAAGTAAAACCATGTCAATATCAATGTGGATATGCCGAGTGATGAGGACAAATGTGATCTAAAATCAGAGGAGCAACTCATACACCTGAGAATCAATGTCAAAGCAGGTGGTACACGATCCCTCATGTCTTTCATGCAAGAAATTAGGATTTACACCATTATACCACAAACATTCATCATGCTCTTTAACATTGCCAATAACTGAAAGATACATAATTACAATGACACTTCAGTTGAATGTACACTTCATGTCTCTTCAGTGGAACTGTCCTAAATTGATCAACTTGGATATATGTTTCCTGAAATCTAGTAGATAACATTCATCATTTCTCACACCCATGTGGTGTAATAATTTGCCTAAGTTTCTTTTATCCACTAGTTGAGCCTTCCAAAAGATTCTTCATCCACTCGTGGCAACAAAGGATAATATATTAGCCTCAATAAAAATATCATCAATTATCAATTTTGACATACTTCTACAAAGTAAAACTGAAACAAGCATTAGATATTAGTAAGTTTTACATTCAGAAATCCCTCTAATATTCATTGAAAATGACCATTTTAGGAGTTAATTAGAATTCAACATAATTTTTGTTTCTAAAATAGTCTTCTTGAGAGTATCATACTATTCTCTAAAGAAGTTTCATTAAATAGCTATTTTATCCAAGAGTTAGCTCCTTGAACAAGGAAGGCGATGTATTCATATTCAGGTTTATCTCATTTTTATAACTAATATCAACAAAACATGTATCTCTGATGCCGAATAGTAACAAAGAGGAGTAAGGAGTCACGGTGGTTTCTCCCAATTCTAGCATTGTTTCCTTCATCCAGTAGTTCATGGATCAGCCAAAATCAAATCTTCTTCTATGCAAGTATTCCAAAAGCATCTGAAGTGAGTTCACTCAGGTTTCCTCAGTAGAAATTCCAAAATTACATAAATACCTTCTTCTTTTCCATCCTTCCTGCCTCACAATCCCTCTTCCTCGAGGAAAATAATTGCTACTTCAGTGATCTTGTTAGTTCTCATTCTACACTGTTTATAGGGTATTAGGATCACTTTTCCCTCTATTTATAGCAATACAATCTGATGCCTATAATATCTGTTACTTCATCTCTTTCACCTTCCCCTCTTGATGGAAACACGCAGTAGAATTAAAGCAAAATTATTCTGTCCCCTGAACCCCTTATGTGTTGAACCGCTCTCCAATGGTTCTTCTTCCCAATTTCAATGTAGGGAAGTCTATAATCTTACTACTTAGATCATGGTCAAGGACCAGCAGCATGAGGGTCACCCAAGAACTTACTACAAATGAAGAATCTCAGGTGTACTGAATCAGAACATGCAGCTTCAACAAACCCCAAGCTGATTTACTTGGGGAAGGGAAGTTCTCTTCTATCTTGATTGAACATGACACCAGATGTGTTTTGCAAAATTACCTGTCCCAGATTGTTGTCCATCCTTTAT